TTGTCTATTTGTTTTCCTGAGAAACTATTTTGTAGATAACAATATGTAAAACAATAACCATTGATAATTTCCTACCATTTTGTCTGTAATTTGGTAAGTCCCCCCATTATTATGTTATCCTTCCTTTACTCTTTAAAATAAAAAAAAAGAAGAAAAAAAAAAAAGAAAGAAAAGAAAAAAGAAATAGTATTTCTATCCCCAGCACCACAAAAGGAAGGGAAGGAGGGAGGGAGGAGAGGTGGGAGTGAGGAAAGATATGATGGAGTTTTGGTTTTTGTTTTTTGGGGGAGGGGGGTGGGTACTGGCAGTCGAACTCAGGATCTTGCACTTGCCAGGCAGGCGCTTATGCCACTGAGCTATATCCCTGGCCCATGATAGAGTTTTGGATGCTTTGTAGGTTGACTAGATGGCCTGCAGAGGGTAGAGCCTCTGGCTCTTATTCAGAAAAACTTTTGAAGAGCCAGCCATGTTGGCACACACCTGTGATCCCAGAACTTTGGAGGCTGAGGCAGAAGGATTGACCCAAGTTTGAGTCCAGCCTGGGCAACAGAGTGAGTTCAAGACTGGTTTGGACTACAGAATGAGACCCTGTCTCAAAACAAACAAACAAAAAACAAAACCCAAACAACCCTGTCTTAAAAAAAAAAAAAAAAAAAAAAAAAAAAAAAAAATCCCCAACGGTGGAAATTTAGATACAAATATCAAGCAGGAAAGCATTTGGGGGGCCAGGGCTATAGCTCAGTGGCACAAGCACCTGCCTAGCAAGCGCAAGGTCCTGTGTGCGAGTCCCGGTACAAAAAAAAAAGAAAGCATTTGGGGGACAGGAGAAAAAAGGTGCTCAAAACCAGCTATTTAGCCGGAAATGTAGCTCAGTGGCACAGTGCCTGCCCAGCAAGCGTGAGGTCATGAGTTCGATTCCCAGTACAAAAAAAAAAAAGAAAAAAACCCCAGCTATTTAGCCTTCAAGGGTCTGATCAGCCCCCTAAAACCTTTCTCTGACCTCCCAACCCGTGGAGCCCTGCCAGGGGCCAGGGATGATCAAAATCTCACAGCAGGCTCGCTCTGCTCCAGCGCGGATAGCCTTACAGCCCTCGTTACAAATCCTGCACTCCCCGAAAAGGAATCCACTCACAAGTGCTGACAAAGATTTTAATGCATAAGGCACAGTGTTGGGCTGGAATCGCATTCGGCATCTTCATACACAAAGGCTGAGCAAAAGCACCAGGGACACTGTTCCCCTGGCATGAGAACCTCCAGAGGGGTGGGAGGGCATTCAGTCTTTGGCATGATGCCTGAGGGCAGGAAGTGACTAGCCTGGTCCCAACTGCCCCTCTGGGGGTCCTGCCACCAAGGGCAGCTCTTTGGTCTTGAAAAAAATCAGATGCAAATGTCCAGAGGTCAATCTCTGAAGTTAGGGAGGCACAGTGCTCCAGGACTGCAGTTTCTGGACAATCTCTTTTTTTTTTTGTACTAGGAATCAAACTCAGGACCTTGCACTTGCCAAGCAGGCACTCGTGCCACTGAGATAGATCCCCAGACCAACTCTGGACAACTTTACCCTCCGGGGCAGCATGTGGGCTTCTTCCTGCTGGCAGTTAGGTAGAGGTTGCTGTCATCGCTGTTGATGCCTGCAAAAGGGTGGGAAAGCTGTGAGGCAAGCCGGGTGGGAGGTTCCCCTTGCTCTTTGCTACCCTCAAGCAGGTGAGCACAGCACTCACGGACAACATCCCCAATGCGCCGGGCGCCTGATTTCTCCAGCTCAGCCAGGACATTGGCCTCAAAGGTCAGTGCTGCCACGCGGAAGAAGAATTCCCGGACATTTTCACCTGATGTGGAGAGCAGGTAGGTGTCAGGGGCAGCACCAAGTCCGGGGTATGTGGGACACCTACAAGTGTCGAATGAGGGGAGCGAAAGGCAGGGATCCAGAGGCCCACACTCACCAGAGAGAGATGACACTGCCCAGTACTCAGCCTTAATCTCTTGAGCCACCTTCAGGGCATCTTTCTCCATGAGTGCGTACTGAGCAGGCGTCTGAGGGAACAGGTGAGTCAGATGGGAGTTCCTGCCCTAAACCGGAAGGTCCCCAAGGACACATGTACACTTACACTCAGGTCCTTCTTGGAACCCACGAGGAAGAGGAGCACACTGGAAGGGTCATTCTCCTTGAGAGCATCAGCAAGCCATTGCCTAGCCAGGTGGGGGACGGGTGTGAGGAAAGGGGGGCCCTGACAGGGTCATCCCACCCACATCACAGGCCCGACTACCCGTCCCCCTCCCCTCAATGTTCTTTCCGTTTGTTTGCAGTGGAACTCAGGGCCTCGTGCACACTAAGCAAGCGCTCTCTCGCTGAACTACACACCCATGTCCCAGATGCATTCTTCTTCCCCGATCTCCCCTCCTTTCCCAACCTTCCTTTCCTGGACCCTCCCACTATGTCACAGCACCTTCACGTACTTGGTATGTTCCAGGGATGCCACATCATTTAGGTTGAAGACAATGATGATCGCTGGAAGAGTGGCAGAAACAGTCCCAGGTTGGGAGGGAACACACACCCTTGGTTCATTTCCCCAGCTCACAATGAGAGGCCAGGCGCGCTGTCTCGGACCTCTGCCCACCTGGCCTATCCCTTACCTTGAGCTCCTCGGTAGTATGTTGATGCAATGCATTTAAACCTCTCCTGTCCAGCAGTGTCCCAACTGGGAGGGAGGAAAGCAGAGCCCAGGTAGTGAGGCATGGGCCAGGGTGGGGGTGTAGCCCCCAGGGGAAAGACAGCTGGAAGGGATGGGGGAGCACTCACAGCTGGAGACTGAAGGGGACCCCCAACACCTCAAATCGTTCCATCTCAAAATCCACTCCGATGGTGGCCTTGTAATTTTTATCGAAGGTGTCTTTGCAGAACCTGAGGAGGTACCACGTGCTCTGAGCTGTCCCTCAGTTGTCCTGGTTAGGCTTCGCACTATCCTGCCCAACCCGGTGGAGCCAAGCTCAGCACCCTCTTACCTATTAATGAGGCAAGTCTTCCCCACCGACAGGTCGCCCACAACAATGACCTTGGAGATCTTAAATCTGCTGAACACAAGAGTGGACACTAGTTTTCATCCCTAGGAGTTGTTTTTTTGTTTTTTTTTTTTACTGCTAAGGATGGACCCCAAGGCTTTTGTGCATGCTAGCTAAGCTCTCTATATGGTTATACTTCCAGTCCCGATTAGCTGTGTGACTTTGGACACGGCACTTTACTTCACCGAACCTCAGTTTCAATGCTTGTTTTTTTGAGACAGGGTCTCAGAAAGGCTGGGCTTGAGCTCACTTTGAAGCCCAGGCTGGTCTTGAACTCTCAACGATCCTCCTGCCTCAGCCTCGCCAGTGCTGGGATTACAGGCGTGAGCCACCACACACCACACGCGGCTCAAAATGCTTTTGTTTTTTTTTTTTTGGTTTTTTGTGGTACCGGGGATCAAACTCACAACCTTGCACTTGCCAGGCAGGCGCTTATGCCATTGAGCTATATCCCCAGCCCCTCAAAATGCATCTTTAGCAAAGTTTTCCATGTAAGAAAAGACACTGAAAATAAATAAATAAATAAAAGACACTGATATCAGCCAACACACTGCCCAGCACACAGTAAATGCTCGATTAATGATCTTTTTGTTTGTTTTTGATGTAGGATCTCACTATGTAGCTCATGCTGTCTTTGAATTCACTCTGTAGTCCAGGCTATTAATCCCCCAGCCTCAACCTTCTGCCTTAGCCTCTGTAGCCCAGACTGGGGCACCTCATCCAGAGAGTACTGGGGTTACAGGACTTCACCACTATGCCCAGCACTGCTAAGGTCAGCGATTGTTCCTACTACTACTACTTCTTTTAACCTACAATGAGACTCATGCCTGGAGACACAGGGAGCCCCCTGACTTAGGGCTCAGTGAATGTTATGTGTCCACCATCCTTTGCTGGACACTTTCCATCCACTCTGCAAGGACTAACAACCTTGTTGGAAGGAAAAGGGAGAACCCAGAGGCGTCAACAAGGGACATCACCATGTAGTTGGCAGGAGGTGAAATAGAGCCCCAACGGGGGGTGCATTCATGTGTGCCCTTGTATGGCTTCAACATTCCCTAGGTCTTCCTGTCTTCACCGCAGATGTCCCTAACTCACCCCACGGTGCCTGTCCGGTGCTCCTGGCAGGCGCAGGTGACTCGGGGGTGGAAGTCTTTGTGCACGTGCAAAGCGGCCTCCTTCCTCAGGCACTGGGAGTGTCGAAGAGAAGGGGCTCAGCCACTCCAGGCCCTTCTCTCGAAGCCAAGGAACCCGGGTTGGGTAGGGAGGGGAGGGCGGACCACCCAGAAGCTCAGGCCTCGCCCGCGGGCAGCAGGGCCGGGCGCCTTCCTCTAACGGGTCTGGTGCAGCCTTCTCCCCGCCCACGCCCGGCTGCAGCCAGAAACCCGACGTGGCCCTGGCGCCTGCCTACCTGGGGCAGCTCCGCCAGGACGCGGTCCCTCCGCACGGGTGCCAGGAGGTTCATCTCGCCTGCGGCCTTGCGGGGCGCCCCGAGACGGCGCCGAGCTCTGATCCGCCCCTGCCTCCCGGGCCCGTGGAGACCCCACAATCACGCGCGGCCGGGGGGTCCCGACGATCACTCGCGGCCACGGGGAGCCTGCAGGAGCCCGCGGCCTGGGAGACGCAACGGCGACCGCAGGCCACGGGGACGAGACGATCACGCGGGGCCGCGGCGAACCCACAACCACGCGGGCCCGGGGCGCCCCGAAGATGACTCGGGGGCGGGGAGACCCCTCGGCCGCCAGGCGGGGGCGGGTTGTCCCGTCGGGGGCGGCCCGGGCCCGCGCGGTCCCGACAATGACGCGGGGTCGGAGAGCTCCCACGATCACCCGGGGCCGCGGAGACCCGACGACAGCTCGCGGCGGGGGCGGCCCCACCATAACAGTGGCCCCGGGGCGCGGCGCGGCCCGGCCGCACGGGGTCAGTGTGGGCAGGGGAGGGCTGCGGGGCCCGGGGCGCAGGAGGAGGGGGCGAGGGGCCCCGTCGGCTGCAGGGCCTGGAGTCCCACGCGGCTCCGCCAGCGCCAGCGCTGTAACACGATCCCCGGAAATTCCTGGAGAAGGGCCGCCCCCTGCCCCTCTCCAGGCCACGCCAGGCCTCGCAGCCCGCCCTCGCCTCCCCCTCCTCGCCTCCCCCTCCTCTCCTCTCTTCTCTCCACCCTGCTGCGCTGCCCGGGCTCCCGCTCGCTCGCCAGACGCCTCACCCCGCGCACTAGGCGCCCCCACCCAAGCTGGCGCCTGTCGAGCTCCGGGTCCTCCAGGACGCTCTGCCCGCACCGCGGGTACCAGGCTGCGCCTTCGGGGGGACCCTTACCCAGCGGAACTGGTGATGGAGACTCAGTGATTGCGGCGCAGCATCTGGAGAGGCAGGAACCCGCGGGCAGGGCCAACGGGGGAGAGAAGGGGCCTTAGGGGAGGCGGCGCTTCCCTCCTCCATTCCAGGCCCGGGCCGTGACTCATGGTCTGCCCCTGTTCGCCCTTCTGCCCTGGGAGGCGGGGGGCGGAGGAGTGTAAAAGGGTGCGGGGATCAGAGCGAGGGGCTCTCCGAGGCGAGAGACATCAGACGTCTGGTGTCGCGCCCTTCCAGGCTGCTGTATAGATCAAGAGATGGGAGAGCTGACTACCAAGCTGCCTGTCTCCATACGAAATGAAAAAGGGCTAGGCGGACCGAGGAACCCTGCCCTTTAGGGTGGGCACCACTCTGGGACACGAAGACTCCTCGCTAGTACAGGCATTCCTTTTCTTGTCCCCGTTAGGAACACCCCGTCCCAACACACACACAAAACTAGGATAATTTTTCCTTTTTACAAAGTCCTAGAGGGTAGGGCCGGGATATAGCTCAGCGGTACAAGCTCCTACCTGGCAAGCGCAAGGTCCCGAGTTTGATTCCCGGCACCAAAAAAAAAAAAAAAGTCCTAGAGGGTAGAAGAGCAGCCAGTTTCACATCAAGGGGGACACCTGGCTCCAGAAGCAGAGGGACAGAAGAGATGCAGTGTGTGTGAGGATGGGGTGAATTAGACACAGACCCGCAGAGTAGTTAACCTCGGGATCATGAAATCTGTGTGCCAGGAGCTGAGTTTGAAGATGCAAAGATGACTGGGAAGGGAATACTAATTCAGCGGAGTGGGCTGAAGTAAATCATTCTCAGGAAGAACTAGTACATCCTAGAGAAATCTGTGCATGGGTATTTGGAATGTACAACTACGTAAAAGGTATTAGTGAGCTGGGCATGGTGGCATATTTTATTTTATTTTTGTCTTTTTGAGACAGGGTCTTACTATGCAGTTCAGGCTGGCCTTGAGCTCACTTTGTAGCCCAGGCTGGTCTCGAACTCACAACGATCCTCCTGCCTCAGCCTCCCGAGTCATGGGATTACAGGTGTGCGCCATCACACCTGGCACGGTGGCATATTTTATAATCCCGACTATTCAGAAGGCTGACACGGGAGGATCAAAAGTTTGAGACCAGCATGAGCAATTTAGCAAGATCCTGTCTCAAAATATAAATTTTGTTTTGTTGTTTCGTTTTGTTTGTGAGACAGGCTCCTGCCATGCAGTTCAGGGTGGCCTTCAACTCAGTGTAGTCTAGGCTGGCCTAGAACTCATGGGGATCCTCCTGCCTTAGCCTCCTGAGTGCTGTGGTTACAGGTGTGTGCCACCTGTAACCACCAGCTTTCAAAAAAATAAATAAATAAATAAAAATTAAAAAGGCTGGGACATGGCCAGGGATGTAGCTTAGCAGCAAAGTGCCTGCCTGGCAATTGAGAGGCCTTGAGTTTGATTCCTGGTACCAAAATATAAAAATAAGTAAATAAATAAATAGATGAATGGGCTGGAGCCGGGTGTGGTGGTGCACGCCTGTAATCCCCGCACTCGGGAGACTGAGGCAGGAGGATCGTTGCAAGTTCGAGACCAGCCTGGGCTACAAAGTGAGCTCAAGGTCAGCCTGAACTGCATAGTGAGACCTTGTCTCAAAAAGACAAAAAAATTTAAAAAGGGCTGAGACATAGCTCAGCACTCCCTAGGTTTAATTCCCAGTAAGGGGAGCAAGGTAATATCAAGAAACAGACTGCTGCCAGGCATGATGGAACATACCTGTATCCCAGCACTAGGAGACTGAGGCAGGATTGCTGTGAGTTCAAGGCCAGACTGGACTACATAGTGAGACTCTGTCTCAAAAAGACAAAAAGAAAAGAAAACCAGGTGTAGTGACGCATTCCTGCAATCCCAGCACTTGAGGGGGTGGGAGGATTATTGCCAATTCGAGACCAGCCTGGGTTACAAAGTGAGCTCAAGTCCAGCCTGAATTGCATAGAGAGACCCGGTCTCAAAAAGACAAAAAAAAAAAAAAAAAAAAGAAAAAGAAAAAGAAAAAGAAAAAGAAAGAAAGAAAGAAAAGAAACAGATGGTGGCCATTTGATACTCCCCCCAACACACAGATGACCTTTTCTGTCACCAAATTCATGGAGGTAAAAAACCCAACAAATCTGTGGTAATTTCTAAACCACATCCCTTTGTGGACCTCAGTATTCCACAGATCTGTTTGAGGGAATTAAATAGTGCAAATTGTGTTCTAACATTCTAGAATTTTGCTTCACCTCTCCCCTAGTCAGTCTAACTGTATTTGCCCCTTTGTAGTTATTGTCTTCTAGAGCTTGAAATCCTCTCTTCTTTGAGACAAAGTTGTTCAAGATGGGAAGGTCTTAAAAAAAAAAAAAAAAAAAAAAAGGGAAGGTCTTGAGACCAGATTCAAGGAGGCAGCCATCTACACCATCCACAGACCTAGACAAATAAACATGTATCTTCAAACACTACAACTCCAAGTGGGGAGTGGTGGTGCATGCCTGTAATCCCAGCACTGTGGAGGCTGAGGCAGGAGGATCACCCTGAGTTCAAGACCAGCCTAGAGCCTGTAATCCCAGCACTTGGGAGGCTGAGGCAGGAGGATCGTTGCAAGTTCAAAGCCAGCCTGGGCTACAAAGTGAGCTCAAGGCCAGCCTGAACTGCATAGTGGAACTCTATCTCAAAAAGACAAAAAACAAAACAAAACAAAACAAAACAAAACAAAACAAAAAAACCATCCTACAACTCCTGGCTGTTGTGGTTCAAGCCTGTAATCCTGGCCCGCCCTGGTGGGGAACGCCTGTAATGCCAGCACTCAAGAGGCTGAGGGAGGAGGATCCATGCGAGTTCGACACCGGCCTGGGCTACAAAGTGAGCTCAAGGCCAGCCTGATCCACACGAGACCCTGTCTCAAAAAGACCAAAGAAAAAGAAAAAAAGCCTGTAATCTTAGCACTCAAGAGGCTGAAGCAGGAGGATCGCTGAAAATTGAGGTCACCCTGCCTTACATAGTGAGTTCAAGACTGGCCTGAAATACATAGTGAAACCCAGCGTCAAAAAAGCAACAAGAGGGGGCTGGGGATTTAGCTCAGCGGCAAAAGTGCCTGCCTGGCAAGCGCAAGGTCGTGAGTTCGGTTCCCGGTACCGGAGAAAAACCAAAA